CATAAATGTAAAACTGAAAAAAAAATCAGAAGCTACAACATTTTCATATATAATTTTATGTTTTATATTAACCCTTATTCTGCCAGCCCCATGTACTTTTACATTGACTTGACCAGATAGGGGTTAAATTTTGGAAAGATATCGCGTAATGAGTGAAAGATGCATTTTGCTACAAATACGTCTACCACAACAATTGAATGATTTGATTTTGAACTTGTATTTCTCTTACATAGTTCAATGTCAAAATGCCATCTTTCAGAGCTATATGGTGCAAGATATCTTTACTTCATGAAAATTGCCCATCATAAAATGTGTATAGCACATTATTAAAGTGGGGGAGTCGTCCCCTGCGTATGCGTCAGTTGGCCATCGCGTGTCGTTGTTTACAAACAAGGGTTTACCCTTTGCGTTTTTAGCATGTGTTGTTATCGTCGCTTGGGACTCAATTCCAGCGCGTGCGCAGGTGACAACCCTCTCGCTTTAAGTGTAGAAATGCATTGCAATCACAAACTACAAACAGAACATACCATATTACCGTTATATATCAAAATACGAACATCAGAGAAAAAAACTACCCACATCAGTAAAAGGTAAATTTACATATCTATTCACATTAAAAAAATATTATTGTTGAACGCAGTTTTCTTACTATAAAAGAGGTCAACCCACTGTCAATGCGTTGAATAAGTTCAGTAAATCAAAAACAAAATGACGCCCGTAAATAACTTCTCATTGGGGCAAAAAAAAAAGTCTGCCTACTCAATTTCTGGCAGTGCTAAAGAATTGATACTGCAGGATCTTATTCTTAGAGACATGATGTCACCAGCATTGTAAACTACATTTAAAATATATGCTTGGAAAAATATTGACACGAAAATTTGAATGGCAATGAATCGACAAGAGGTCATCTTTATTTTTAACGGAAAAAGTGATGCCTAAATACGATATGTATATTATATATGATATTATAAAACAAGCACAATAAACCGATCCGCCAACTACAACTAGGTTTAAGCTATCCAATAAACGAAAAAAACATTTATCTTTTCAAGACGAATAGAAGGGGCTAGCCGGTGAAGGTCGTTAGAAATGTTCCAAGTTGCGATCCCTGACTGAGTACCTCAAATTTAAGTGCGATATTCACAGATAATAATGTCTGTATGCCACTATGAAAAGACTTGCCGGCTAAAGAATTGTGTTGAGCTTCTAAATCTATATAAAGTATCAAAATATATGGGTTTTTTTTGGTTGTAAAATCTAGAATATGAAGGGAACAATGAATCAATCCTTTCAATAGAATGCTCTGCTATTAAGAGGCTATGCTTTCGCGGAAAGCCATACCAAGCGCAGTCCGAGCACAGCGCTAATTCACACCTTAGACAATAGCCGTTTCCAGACCGGGGATAGAGGGACTGGGATTTAATTAATTTTCAGTTTATTTTCTTGGATTAAAAAGGAGTTGGAAAGAATAGATAGATTATTTGTTTAAACAACAACAATAGTATCCCATGATTCCATGGTGCAATCCCTGGGATTGAGAAGTCACGGTTTAAGAGCGAAGCTGTTTTTAAAATGGCGGTCAATTATTTGTACAGTGTAGTATACTAGTAGTTAGGATTATTTCGGGAAAAAGATACTAGTATTTATTTGTAATGTACATTTATAACATTATATTTGTACCGACCTTATTACCCTTCATAAATACCATATGGTTAGTAGCCTCAATTTATATTTAATACTGTAGAATACTTTATTTTCGCTTTGAATTTATTTTCGCTATTTTCGCTGAAAGGATGATTCCGTGGAAATATAATCCAGCGAATATACGTTTTTCCTTATATTTCCCATTCAACTCATCAAAAATCAGTGAAAATAAATTCCATACAAAACACCCAAAATGCCTTTTCACAGTATACTCAAGCCAAAAAGGTTTCGCTTTGCTTTCTCCTCAATTTTAAACATTGAACATATACATCTTGTTGTTATTGTACTGAACAATTTTAACACACAAAAAAGTTACACCATGTCACCGCATCATTAATTATTTATTAAAGTCTTATATACTAGTTTTACTATTGACATGAACACATACCTAATACAAAGTAAATTACTTGAGTCAAAACAAATTTTTCCAAAAACAAAACAAGAAAAAACACAGGTTCACTGATGCTATGAACTTCCCTGCTGCATCGCTAGAATCTATGTTTTATGCTTGTGTTGAAATGGCAAAGAGGAGGTACCAGCAAGATGCAAGCAATTACAAATCCAACACGACTATTTTTAAATACGATGTATAGTCATGAAGCAATTAACGCAAATTGAGAATATACATGTTATGTTTTGTACAATCAGTATAAACAGATGTAAGACTCTTAGGGGTCAAACATTTGAAATCATTTGGGAGGGGTAGAATGTGACAGTGCATTTTTTTTTGTCTTATCTGTCATTTATTTTTTTAATGTGTCAACATCTTTTCCCTGCAAACCTTTTTATGCATATTGTTTTTTCCTCTGTGTCTAGCTTGCAATATTGCAGCCCCCTAATGATTACAAATGGTTGATCCCTTAGTGTACGTTTTTTTATAGAACTACCGGAACACATTGTGTCATACAATTTCTAAAGGTCTTTAAACATATGTCACATCAGTGTCAGAAATAACACTTGTTTGCAGGAAACCTCAAATCTGAATCAAATAACAATACTGTCTCTATGGAAACAGGTTTATATGTACAGTAGTGAAATTCATTATAACAGCATTTTTATAATTTATATATAATTTATTATATTTTCAAAATATATTCTAAAAAATTTTCTTCAATATTTTCTGAACAAAAAATATTTGAGTACAGCATTTTTCAACAAATGCATACAAAAATCTGTTGTTTGTAATAATTTATTGTTTTTGTAATATTAATTTATTGTTTTTGTAATATTAATTTATTGTTTTTGTAATAGAACATAATTTCCATGTAGAGAAAACAACAGGGTATGTTACCTACAAAATTAAGAGTCTGTCATTTTATTCTGTTACCTTTCACAAAATGTATTTCGCAAATATTTATTATATCTAGATGTCTGAAAAATGTCAATTTAAATATACACAGCTGGCAACAGAGACAAGAGAAAAGCTGATTGTTTGCTGATTTCGTCCATCTGCTACCTTTACAAGATTTAATCTTAGTTGGTTTGAAAACAGAACTAACACAAGGGTGACTGGGTCAATGACAACTTGAGAATTTTAGAACAATTTGGTATTTCATTGTTTTTGAAACTAAATAAAAAGATTTGAAATTAATAAATATAATAACACGATAGTTGTATGTAAATTAGGTTGAAGTACGTGCCACTATATTATTATTAAAATCAGATATTGTAATGTTAAATTCTGTCATGCGTTTGTGTATTTTTCAGCTTGTTCATGTTGAATGAAATGCACATCAGTGTGACTTGATATGTGAATTAATATACTACAAGTACATACATACACTATGAATTTATATTGCCAGTTATAAACGCACATTTTTTGATTGTTCTGTTTTCCAAATTCTATGTGCTCACATTTGCTTTGATTTTGATTTTTTTTATGAAACTTTTTCATTGTTCATTGAATTATGTTTGACAAAAAAAAAAAACTAAAATAAATATTTTAACTGACATGTGTGACAGAAAACAGGTATCTACTTGTACGGTTTTGCATCAATTCAGAAATTCTTTTTTCAATGATGTGGAAGCAGTAAGCTTGAACATTATACATTGGACATTTAAGATGATTTCACCCAAATAAACATTTTTTTTAATTTATAACAAATCACTAAAAAAAACATATATTGACCAAAAATACTATAAAAGTATAAAGACGGCTTCTTTACGAAAATATAACAATATGAAAGCATATCCTAGCAACAGTAGACAAAGATGAATGGAATATAAATGACATACAATGTAAAAAAAAACATGTTTAGACATCTTTCAGGTAACTAACACAAATGTTTCAGTGAATTAATAGTTGACAAGTTCATTTATAGTATGCATGACTTGAGCTTTCCCACCATTTAATACTTGCTATTTTTTTTTTTTTTTTTTACATAAATGCCGGTTTTGGGTCAAGCAGATAATTTTCTAGTTATACCTTATTATCAAACATTATCCTAAGATATTAAATAGTAAATTAGATAACTCATGAAATACGGCAAAATTAGGTTAGATTGGGTATGACAATATTTAAAAAAAAATGATGTAAATCTTGCATTTATTTAGTTCAAAGCAAGCGAAGAATAAATCAATCATTGAATAGTCTTCAAGGAATTCTTCATGTTTCCTTACTCTACAAAAAATCAGTTTATTAACTATAAATTGAGTTTATGTATCAACTAAATCTGTTTAACTTCAAACTAAACTACTGAAGGTCTCAAATTCTATTTAAACAGAAATTATTTATTAATATATCTCTTGCTCTTCGTCCAGCTGTTTTGTTCCTCACCTTAAAAATAACATTTTAATTCACAAAACAATAATAATAGCATGAATTGACTTTCAATGTTACATTGTACTGTATAGTTACAATTAACGCTGGTGTGCATAGTTTAAAAAACAAAAGCTGTATGACGTGTAGATTCCTTTACATACACCCCTTATGTTTCTATACAGGAAAATCTGTGTGATAGATGACATCACTATAGCAACAACATCAAATTCGAGAATAATTTGAATATCAGCATATGTGGTGATTTGGATGAAAACAAAACCAATTTTGAATCTACGTAAAAATAGATTTTAACTACTACTTACAACACATATTTACTACCTCTTAGTTGTCATAATGTTCTATTCTTGAATAAAAACTGATTTTTAGTTGGATACTGATTAACACAGCACAGAACACAAAGCTGATGATGATGATGATGAAGAGAACATGACAATAAATAACACTGGTAGATGATAAAAATTTAAACAAACATCAGCAAATTTTCAACAAGATTTTATAAATGTGATAAACTTACCAGTGATTTTCCTGAGTGTATATTTAGCCGAGAATTGATGCTTGTAGAGTTTTGCGCAACATCTGTGGATATCCAGGCAGTGATGACCACAGATACTGCGTATTGAGGAAACCTAGTACATTAGTGATTAGACAAAATGGAATAATAATGAATATTGAAAGGAAGATTCCATTATTTATTTGAGGGAAGGAGGGAGGGCATCCATTGTGTGACAGCGCCCTCAGTTAAAATAAATATTTAATAATAGAGGGCTCACTTTGGTTGCAATTTAAAAATCAAGGTTTATATTTTTGCATGATTATTAAAAAGCAAGCAGCAACACACTAACTGAAATTCCCAATTAACGAGTAAATTATATAATAATTTAATTAGATATTCAACATATCAAAACTAATGCACGCAACAATAATTAACTGTATTACATATGGTTCTATCTTTGTTAAACCTGACGCACACAAGCGCTATCAACTTAAGAAAAATTCATTCATGGGTGTTTGCTTAAGCAGATAGCTTCTGTGTACGCTCAACTTTGCACCAGATTTTGGTCACTCGAGGCAAAAAGGTAAACATCTAATGTGTTTGATAATTATCGACATGAGTGTTCACCATGTCTGGTAAATGAAAATCATCTGCTTAAGTGCAATTGCATGCACATTGACATAAAACAAATACGCCCATCACGTATTGTCATTATATCAATCAAAGTATTAAGATTTAGTTTATGTCAAAAATGACCGCCAGTCAGCCATATTTGATTAAATAAAAAACAAAACTTGATGTGCATATGTATGCCATATATGGGTCTCATATAAACAAAGAT